ATGTTTTTATCCTTTCATGTTTTATCATTCTATACAGTTATTTGTAACTAATTCAGTTGTAACCATGTATAATTATTGTCATTAAATCATTTAATTTTTAAGTATTCTGTGAATTACTTTTGATTTAACATCAACACTTAATCGCTCCATATTGCAATACAATACAATCACATAATAGCAACGCTATCCTACATTTTAGCTATTATAACTGCCATGTTTGGTATAAGATTGCAGAAGGATGTTTTGCCTAGAAACTTTCTAGTCATTCGGCAGAACTAAAGTTTGAACCGCTGTAGTTATAAACCCATTCTTACATCACTCAGGAAGTATGTTAAAAATACTAAATATTTCACCGAAGGATAATAATTTTGACTTTTTGTATGGCTGCCTTTCAGCTATATATGCCTTCAGCATTAAAAGTATCTATGCAAAAAAAAAAAAATGTTTTTAGTAGTAGTAGTAGAAGTGGGATTTGTATAGCTACTACTTCTCACAAATAGTAACTGAGTCACATCATTATAAAAGTAACTGATTAGCAGGGATAGTATTGCGTTACTTAAAAAACTAATTTATCAAATGATTATAAAAGAAATATATAACATTTACTATAGGTCAACGCAGGACTAATTATTTTGTCCTGCTCCAGCCAGGTTTTTTTCCGCACTCTACTGCTCCTGCTATATATTTAGTCTTTGTTCACCTGCTGCCTGCTTAGAATAATTTTCTACCCGAACCAACTGTTCCCGCTATGTGTAGATGTGGTTTGCCAAATCTCACATTTAAATTGGGTGCTACCAAAAATGAGAGATAACAGATAAAACTGACCATTTTCTAATGCAAGCTGAAGGACATCGCATCTTCACTTTGCTCTTCACTCGTCTCTGTCATGTTGGTAAAACCCACTCTTAGGACCGTTATGTAGATGATGCGCTCACAGACTGTGCAAAAATATGTGTAACATCATATGCAACAGTTGTGTGAGGACTGGTTGTACCGGTGCTCAATAAGAATGAGGAAAACACAGATATACTGTTGATAAATAACATACAGTAAGGACTCAGGAACGCTAAATTGTTAGCCCACCCACTCCCATTCAGATTACACCAGAGTTACCGCATTACCAACGCATTTTATTCGGAAATGTATTCCCGTGCTGCAAGAAAACTGGTCGGGTCCCACGGCTCCTATGTTACAGCCATGGGAATGCAGACCTCTACAATGTTCACTAATCTACACTATTTTTATGTTGTTTTGAGACAACCATCAAATTCAACATATTATAAATATTAGAAAATAAGGAAAAAGTAGTGTTTATTTTCTTGCCTCTACCTTTGATTTTGTTGGATTTGTCATCATTCTGACTCCTGGTCATTGGTTTGTACCACTGACTGTGCGTGTGCTTTTGTTAACACTCGTTCTACTCTGCCTCTGATTGGCAAACGATGGAAATATACTCTATCTAAGCCAATCATCACATTCTCAGGTACACCATGTTCACAGACACACCAATCATCATCACTGGTTGGTTATTTGTCCCGCCCCAGCCCCAAACACACACACACACTCCAGAAAAAGAGAGGTCCTATGGCTGAAAGAGATGCTGCTGACATAAAAACCACTTCAGTGTTCTCAACTATAGTAACATGCATTTTATTGTCAGTAATGGTAAAGACATTGTAACAGGGGAAACAGTAATTCATTTGATTACTCGTTACGGAAAAAAGTATCGCCATTAGTTACGCAGTTTATTAATAGCGCCGTTAATCCCATCGCTGATAAGTATTAACATCAACCATCCATATATATTTAAACAAAGACAACCCAAATTCTATGTTGCCTTGCGTCTAGTATTAAATAAAAAATTCTACATTTTTGAAAATATTAGAATATGATTTGTTACAATCTCACTAATATTATAATCCATATTTATTAATTTTGTATTATTTTATTTCTAGATTAGATATGCATTTTTTGTATCTAAATAAAATTAGCCAATTTCTGAGAATGATCATGTAAACTGTACAGAGTCTGAAGATCCTGGTAGTAGCTCAAAAATTTCTATGGAAATGCATGAATTGTTAAACTGTATATTGTGCTTGTAATAATCATCCCACCATGAGCTAAAGGGAGTCCACTAAATGAATAAATGTAACTTCATGAGGCTTGAATGCTGCTGTCGTTAAAGCCAAGGCTCGACAAACTACCAGACACCAAGGTATTCATGTTCATCTTTCCTCTCAGCTTATTATGCTGATGTACACGTTTTAATGAAAACGCATTTCCACTGGTGGTCTCCAGCTTTTGGACCTGACTCCGTATTTAAATGGAATTTCTAACCATGATAAATGAACGCAACTTTCTGGATAAAAGTGCGCTTGTACACTTTGTTCTGGAAAAACATATTTCACCTCCTGTTGCGCCAAGCAGCATATTAGCAGCATGTGTTGGATTTTCTCCTGTGAGTCATTGCTCATCCTGAAGTTTGTTCATGGCCACTGAACCCAGAACAGATCCGTTTTCTTCCCTTATTACAAACATCTCTGCTCTTTTCACGGGCGGTTCTGTCGAGTGGAAAGCAAAGAGATGCACAGTTTCACTCCACTGGGGAAGTGAAACTCACACAGCGTTCGCAATGCTCACTTGCACAGGCAAGCAAATAAATCAGTCATCTAAATAAACTACTGCTTTTATGCCTTTGATGCTTTCAGAAATGGCACAGGAAAAATACAATGTAATAACATAAGAATTGTGTAGATTTATAATCATTAGAGAACGACCAACGTTGTACATACATAGTATTAGAGTGTGTTTTAATATAAAATATTTCAGATCCAGTTAACAATTTATTTTTATTGGTATTATTTTTATAGCTTTTTATTATTGTTTTTATATGTTATTTTATTTAAAATTTTTAAATAATTCAGTGTTTTACAGGAAAATACTATTTCAGTGTTTTTAAAAACTGACATTTAATGAATTAAAATAAACATTTAAAACATTTAATGTTACAAATTTTTTCTTTGTAACTGTTTGTGTAATGTACATGCAATTTTCTTTCAATAGTGTCAACCTCTATTGATTTCACAAAAAATAAAAAATAAAAACAATATATGTAAATGAACCATTTTCTGTATTTTGTGATTCATGTTTTTTGTTTGTTTGTTTATGGTTTTGAACTGCATTATAGGACCTTGATCTTTTCTCCAACAACTTTTGATGTGAAAAAAACATGACTTTCATTGATTTTTTTCAAGTTTGAAGTGATATATATTTTCTGGGCTGCTGTTGTAAGTTGTGGTAAATAAAAATATCGTTATAAACTGGCAGTTCATTCTCCGATGTTTAACTTAGGGTGTTCTCACACTAGGCTATCCGAACCACCTCCGAGCGCTTGTCCCGGTTTGTTTGACAAGTGTGAGTGCTGCAAATCGTGCCTGAGTGCGATCAAAGTCCCTTTAAGGCAAGTCATTTCACTCGGCGACCATCTTTGAAATGCCTCTCGGGCAGTATGCTCGGGCATTCTGTCTGAATGGGGAAACATCAAATTCTCCAAAACTACTTGCCAGGCTTACAATTACATTATATATTATGAATAACCAATAGAATTAAACAACAACTGTCTATTTAATTTCATTTCTAAATGTTGTTATCACACAAAATCTGCAGAAACTCACGTCTGGTCCAAGTCCCTCCACCGGAGAATTGTAAATCTATAGCATTTGTTGATTGGCTTGTGTAGTAGAAGGCGGGCTTTATTCACCATATAGCGATCGCTGATTGGCTCCTGTACTAGAAGGCGCGGCTTCATTCGCCATATCAAAGAGCTTAGAATGACCAAGAGGAGACACTCAATAGAACGTTCCATTGCCACAGCAGCGGCCAGCAACAGCTCTGGATTCCGCCATTTTTGAGTGAAAGCGATCGGCTGTCCATTGGATCTTATTGCTGTTGCGATGGCAAGCAGCTGCTTTGTTTATCATTTATTTATTTTAAAAGTGCATTAAAGCGGAGATACAACCTGAAAGACGACAACACAACACTTACTATCACAATCATCAGCGCTTTTAATAGTTTATTTTACAGACTTAAGAATATGCTGTTGTTCTATTGGAGTTTTCATTCCAAAATAGGCTTCCCAAATTACACTAGAGTGTCACCTCTTGGTGATTATATGCTCTTCGGCCATATTGACAGTTACACTTTTCCCCATTCAAAAGTGTATGAGTGGCATGTCTTTTGCATTCTAAAGTCTTTGGCGCAGTTCAGTTGGTTAGCCCTGGCCCAGTTGGAAGAGGTCTGCCAGAGCAAATCGCACCTGAGCACAAAACTGAAGAATCAACATTACTTTTAAGGGACTGTTTCATATGGATTTATTAATTATTCTTACTGTTCAATGAATGCGAACTGTCATAGTTTATCAAAGATCCAAACCCCCTGCTGAATGTCAGCTGCCACCTTCAGCAAATCGCCTAATACATGCAGCACAATGATTTCATAAACATTTATAAGTGTCAAAAGTGGCGGATCTGTAAGTAATACAAAACAATGTATTTAAAGCAAGCTCCATTGTACAGAATGAGAGTGCTTCTCTTAAAAACTGAACATTCACATCATTGATGACGTAAACGTGTTTGAGCTCGAAAGGTAACATACATTGTATATTATACAAGCTATTACACAGTTCTTATAAACTACTAAAATGTCAATAATATTAATAAAATGTCTATAAAATGCCACATAATGGAATTAATAACTAAATAAATACCAGTGAATCACAAAAACAGAAGCTGTAAATTTACAACTATTTTTGCAGTATATGTTTTTAAGAATGCTTAAGTTGTTTTGTTGTTTAGATTGTTTGTTGAATTTTATCATTCTTTTGACTTTTATAGCTTTTTATTTTGAAAGTCTAACCAAAACTGCATTAACAAAAAAAAAAAAAATCAAAAACAATATGCTCAAACAAGCAATAATAATATTTCCTGCTTTGTTTTCCACAGATCCTGAAAAAGATCAGCATGTACATCCAGGAGCAGAACGAGAAGATCTTTGCACCTAGAGGTTTGCTCTTAACAGACCCCATTGAGAGAGGCATGCGAGTGGTATCCTTTACACACGCTCTCTATAGGATGCTTTTAAACGAGTCTCTATAAAACGTGATTATTTACTTTACTTAAAAAATTAAGTAAACCCATTGCCTTAAAAATGGGAAGTTCACTTTACTTACAAAAACGCATGAATCCATTGTAACTTGAGGCTGTTAATATGATTTAACTTCATTTTTATAATTATGCTCATAATTAGTTTACCTCAGCATTTTAAGACAATGGATTAAATTTTTTAAGTAATTTTTTTTTATGTTTTTATGAACAGGCTCATTGTGAAAACGTACCCCATATACATTTGTGGAGAACGTGAATTATGTAGCCAGAGCTACGTATGGCTGCATTTCATTGTAAAAAAAAATGCTACGGAGTGGCTGCCGACGCGAACGACTTCTGTTCGACTTCTGTTTCGGAAGAATGGTTCCAGAAAGTAAATAACAGATTGGAAAACAAAAATCTTTTTTTCTGGGTTGCTTTTGAAAACACTGTCGGTTGGGTTTAGGGATAGGGGTGATCGGGTCAATTGGTGCTTTGGTCCCACTTCATATTAAGTGTCCTTACCTACTATGCACTTGCATCAAAAATAAATACAATGTACTTACTGTGTTCATAATGTATTTGAGAACACTTGTGGTGCTCTTGAGTTGGGATAGGGGTTGGGTTATGGACAGGTTTGGTGGCATGGGTAGGTTTAAGGGTGGGTTAAGGTGTAGGGAATGGTCAGCAGTGTATTTACAAATGTAATTACAAAAGTTAATTACAGATGTAAATACAAACAGGTATTTAATCAAGCATAAGTACACAATAAAATACATGTATTTACACAATCAGTACATTGTAACAAACTATTAATTCCTGTGTAAGTACATATTAGTTAAGGCCACTTAATATAAAGTGGGACCGGTGCTTTTGAAAACATTATGGGATAGATTTAGGAAAGGGGGTGGGTGGGGGTATCGGTCGGTCGGTCAGTCAGTTGACAGTGGCCTCTGGTGGATTTACACAAGAACAGCAGGCGCGAATGGCACTTGAGAAAGAAATCGTAGATCTGAAAAAGCTTACACAGAGGCCTATGGTGGATTCGCGAAAATAAAAACTGCAAAAAAACCTAACTCCTGGGATATATGTTGCACTGTCTGGAATATATACAGGGGTGTATACTAATAATAAGCCTGGGTTGTTTTTTACAGTGTAGAAAGATGGGTCACTACTGATTTCCACTTCAGGCTAATGGCCACCATTGACTTATATAATAATTATTCCTACCATAAAATTCAGTGGTGAGCATCCTCTGTTCAGATACCATCACATTTCAAAATATCTTCTGTTGTGTTCAGCAGAGGAAGAAACTCACTAGTTTTGCTTGCTAAAAATACAGTTTTAGCTTCAGGCTGAGATTATTTCCATATTTTCTTCTGATATTCCACAAAAATACAAGATGGTTTATCATTGGTTTGGCAGAGCACATTACCAGTCAACACCGTGATTGTGTGTCTTTTTCCCAAAATTAACTTTTTTTTTTACAGATTTTTTTATAAGAGACACATACTGTGCTGTACAAGGAATATCACTTCACCTTGAGCTGTTGAGCTGAAGTGACATGTTGATATAAAGCGGGGGAAAATAAGGCTTTTTTTTTTTTTTTTTTTGCTTTTTTTGGTACGTAGGCATTTCTTTCCATTTTCCAGCACCATGGTTGTATCTAGGAGACTGTCTGAGACCTGAAAGCATCTGAGGTCAGACCTGATTAAAGAATATGTGGCAAAGGAAAGCTTCAGACAAAGTTGGTTTTAGACAACCAAACTGTTTGACAGCTAGAGTTTGAAGTCATTAATATTCCTAGATTAATAATTAATTGATTTTTTGGAGATAACTATTCATTAATTTATTCCTCTATATAAGGGCTTAGTACATTATTTATTAGGGGCCACCACAGCGAAATGAGCCGCCAACTACTCCAGCATGTGTTTCATGCAGCGTATGCCCTTCCAGCCACAACGCAGTACTGGAAAACACCCAAGCACTCCCATTCACACACACTCATACACTATGACCAATTTAGTTCATCCGCACCTATAGTGCATGTCTTTGGACTGTAAGGGAAATCTACATGAACACGAGGAGGAAATGCCAACTGGCTCAGCTGGGACTCAATCCAGAGACTTTCTTGTTGTGAGGTGACAGTGCTAACCACAAAGCTGCCGGAGATAATATTTCATTTCTACAGGCAACAGATATCTAAAATAAAAATATCTAATAAAGAAGACAATCATTCTCATACATACAGTGCACATAATCTATATTATCATTAATTCATTTTGTCTTCAGTATTAATGGAGGCTTATAGTGAAAAAGCCACCAGAATAAGCATAAATGCCATACAAAATCATAAGACGATTTACATTTAATTCTTAACTCAAAATTATTGAGACAAATTCAATAAAAAGAATTAGTTTAATAAAAAAAATATTTGACAAAACAAACATTTACCCCTATGTTTTCAAAGTGCAATGTGTCAGTTAAAAATACCTTTAATGCTACAAATAAATACAACTTTACTGTAACTCTCTATCACATGGTGTTACTATATGGCAACATGACATTTATGTTAATTTCCCTGACACTGTTTCTTTAAGACCAATGTTTAAATTTTTTTGTCGGAAAGAGAAGACCTTAGTGTAGCCAATCATGTGCTTTGGTAAGTCACATGACATGCTGTGTTTTGCTGTAGCACAATTTCTGACAGACTGGCGTTTATTGCTGAATGCAAATGTAATCATCAATAGAAACAAAGGATCAAATTACGTCAGATCCACAAAAAAATCTGAAACATCACCTCCAGTAAGTTATGAAGACATATTCACAACTCATTTTTATTTTTTAATCAAATTAGTTTTTTGTAAATGGATCAAATGTATGTGTTGCTAAATGGCAAATCTGCAATAGTGGAACGTGCAACATAGCAATGGGTTAGCTAGCTAGCAAGGTCAGCTGTGCACTTTTAAGTTGTAACAATAACATGAATGCTAGTAATATAATGTTGATTAGTTGTATGCTAATGGCATTTGCATTATAGATAACATCTAGTTTTAATAGCAATACTACTTTTGAATAGATATAAATACAGGGAACAGTGCATTAGCTAGCACCACCATGTTCTATGGTGAGTGAAAGAAGAAAAGGACAGACGTGGCTCTTCCTGCAGATGAAAATGAGGATGAGATGGGTTTTAGTGACCATGAGAATGATGCATATTGGACATTTGATAAAAGCAGTGATGGAGACATTTCAAGTAAGTTAGCTTAAGACAGGCGTAGTATATATAGTATAATATATAAATATTGTTAGCTAGTAGCTACAGTATTCTGATGCATCTGGATATACTAGACTTGTTATTTATTTGTTATATTTTTACAGGAGAAACAATTTAAATTTACTGTATGTTGTATAAATGATAATACAATATCATGTTTGTTTTCAATAATATTCAGCAAAAAAGAATGAAATAAATGAAAGCTGTGTGAAGGTGTGATTTATAAGTTCTGTGTTAAAGCTTATAATACACCAATTAAATCATTTTAAACAACATAATTATTAATTATAATGAAAGTTCTAAATTTGAAATTTCTAAGTTATATCCATTGTTGGATGTTGTTGCCATATGCAAATTTTATACCTTAAATAAAATTCCAAAAATATTTTCTAAGAAAAGAAAAACAGTCAAATATTTAAATAGATTTTAAGAGCTCACACTTAGCTGATGATTGATTATAAGCTAATTTGGCATGCTGTCCCAGGTGAGAGCCCTGAGCTAAAAAGATTCTCGAGCCCAGGGCTCCCTCCCGTTGCAAGGCGAGAGGGGAGTTTGAGCTCAGGTAGATCTCGAGAACTCCCATCATGGTGGCTGAAGAGGAGATAGTAGTTGCTCTTTAAAGAGATAAGTACTAGGACAAGTCTATAGTGTTGATTTGGATTAGTCAATAAACTTAGGTTGCATGTCTTTTAATGGTGGGAGCAAACAGGGAAACCCAGGGGAAACCCTCGTGAGCACGGGGAGAACGTGCAAACTCAGCACAGAAACATCTGCTGGTTTGGTAAAGTCTGGGACCAGAGACGTTCTTGCTGTGAGACAACAGAGCTAAGCACTGGGTCACGTGTCACCCATCTAGGTAGGAGGGGGAGGAGTAGGGGTGGAAGGGGTATTCTTCAAAATGAAGATAATTGTGATACGTAACCCAGGGTATTTGTAGTGGCTTAGGAAGGATTTGATTGGTGCATTGTGAATTAGATAATGCAGGTCCAGTCACTAACAATCATAAGCATGTGATCCTCTTGAAATTAGTTCACAAATAAACTTCACTTATTATAATGCATGCGGTAGAGGGTTAAATAAATGCTTTTGTTAAACTTTACCTTAAAATGAAGGTAATATGTCTCTTCATTATAAATAAATGTTACTGATCATTTAAATCCAACAGGCATTTGAAATGTTGCTGTTTTTATTGCTTGTTTCTAAGCAACTCACCTAATGAGATGTTGCTGCTCTGCTGCTGTCAAGCCTTTTGATTTCTGCCTGAAAACTCGTCACTTTGCAGAGATCAGGCTCGACACAGTATGAAGCCCAATAACCTGTTAGTTGCCTTGGTAACTCATTCCCTTTTGATCATTATTGTGGTTTAAACTTTTTTTTAGTTGCCATTTTTTTCTCTGAATATGTGCACAGAAAATTATACAGAACTAGCTCACTTTTTGGGAAAGCTTGCTGTTACTGATGCCTAATATACAGGCAAGCTAACATGTATTCAGACACCTTCAACATAACTCGCAGGCTATCTGCTAAAAAAGTAATAATAATAAATAAATAAATAAATAAATAAATAAATAAATAAATAAATAAATAAATAAATAAATAAATAAATAAATAAATAAATAAATAAATAAATAAATAAATAAATAAAAACAATTGCTGTTTGTTCAGGCTGTTTATTTAAAGTGACTTTAAACAACACAACTCTTAAGTTTTATGTGGGGGACAACTTAATTGCTTTATGTTAAATCCACTTACATTTGTAAAAATTATGAAGTTAACTATTTGATGCACAGGCTATTTAAAAACAACTTCTAATGCGGTTTTCCAGCCTGATCTCACGAGAAAACGTAAGTATTTTACGTTTTGGCAGTTTAGTGGCTAATTTGTACGAATTCGTACGAGTTCAGTCATAAGAAAATGTACGATTTTAAAAAGGAGACGTGGCACCTAACCCCACCCCTAAACCCAACCGTCATTGGGGGATACACAAATCGTACTAAAATGTACGAATTAGATTGTATGAATTTGTACGAATTAGCCACTAAATGAAAAATTTACGAATTGCCGTGAGATTGTGTTGGGTTTTCCTAAAAAAGAAATCAGCATGTACATCCAGGAGGATTTATTCACAAAAATGCGGTTTTGTGAGTTTTTATCCTATCATTATAAGGCTTTTGAATAATACCATATCTTAATAGTATTGAATAGCTAAAATGTTATAATAAATCATTAAATAGTTAAATTAACTATAACTGAAACTAATGCACAACATGAGTCTAAAATGACCCACATACATTTATTATGCAATTTCATGCTTGGCTGGGAATTTGTTTTGTTTTATCATTTGAAATCAGTTTATCTATGCACTAAACATTCCCTAATATGTAAAATACTCCCTGATACATCAACATAACTTATTTTTATTCAAAATGTAAGAAATAAATAAGGATTTGTGATGGTCAAAAACAAGTTAATTGAGAAATTCCTGGAATACCAAGGAACAAAATAAATGTATTGCAAAAATATAGAAAGTTAGAACGGACTTTAAACCCATGTATAAATTAAGGTGTTAATTGATTTTTGTTGGGGCACATAAAGAAATTGTGTGGAACCCAGCATTTTTACAGTCTACAGTTTAGAAAATAATAATAAAATATTACTAGAGTTAAACTGTCAAATTTATTTGGACAATGTCAGAACTTTGTTAGAAAAGTACATGATATAATGGATTAAAATTAACCAAAAATATTTCTGACAACTTTAAGAATTAAGGATGTTACAAATTGTCACGCTCTGAAAGATTTCACTTTTGTGAAATGTCAGTTTCGACCAAAAGAGAAAAAAAATGGCTGAAAATATAAGCTTAAAAATGTTTACGCTGCACCAAACTGCCTAGCAATGTTCAGAACTCATTCCAGATGTAGTCAAACATATTCCAGATGTAGCATGGAGGAAATCGGCTTTCACACCGGACACGGAAAGTGCAGCACTATGAAACCCATTCATTTCAATGCACCAAGCAAATGCAAGTTTGTTGCTGCGTAAAATGCAAAAGCAGCTGCAGTGGAGCGTGCTCGCTACAGTCAAAGTTAAAAATAGCTTAACATTCTGCTCTGTGAATATTCTGTTCATGTCAGCAAGAAAATAAACATAGATGCTGGAATGGCATTAAACACAAACAAATATATCACACATGCTCACTGGGAAAATCGACCAAATAACGTACTGACAATACATTTCTATTGTATGTAGTATATATTCTTGCTTGCAATGGCACTTCTGTGCTGTCATGGCAATGCTGGTAAAATGAAACTTCTCGACTCGTTTACTGTCAATAAAATCTGGTTGTTTTGTTAGCCTGTGTTCTTTTGAAGTCAGTATAATATGTTACACTCAATTTAAAAAGTCTTAACAATATTATTTAATAAAAATAAAAAATCATTACAATGCAATTTCAGTTTTAACTTTTGGTCAAGTGCATCCAGAATTTTCGTATATATATATATATATATATATATATATATATATATATATATATATATATATATATATATATATATATATATATATATATATATATATATATATATATATTTCTAATTGTTTTATGTTGAATACACCTAAATTTGTAAAAAAAAATAAAAATAAAAAAAATAAAGTTAACTTAATTGATTTGTGTTGCAAAAACATGAAGGAATTGTGTTTATCTCTGCATTTTTAAAGTGTTATAACGTCAAAATAGTAACTATCAATACTTTGATTTTTGGGTAAAATACATCACAGTTTACCTTATTTCACTATCCTTACATAAATGAAGTATACTGCAACCGCAACAAAAAATCGAATAATATGTCTGCTGTCTGAGTAATTTTTGGATTGAATGTACAGTATGTTCACAGTGTTCAGGTATGACAATAAATGCACCCTCAAGCGATCCTCCAGGAACATATTATTCTTTGGATCCCATAATTTTGGGTGATTCTTTTTGGGAAATCTATCCAGTGGACCATCAAGCTATCTTGGCAGTCCCATTCCTCCAATTCCCTCTGACTGCAGGCCCCGGTCGGCTTTGGCGGCCCCATCATCAGTTCACAGTCCTGCTCAATCCAACCAGCTGTCACCTTAGGAGCAATGGACAAACAATAGCTGCCATTCACTTCCTACCACACTGACCACCAGGAACTCATCACAGGGCTTGGGTTGAGCTCATAGGAAAGAGATGTTCAAGTTAAATTAAATCAAACAACTGATGGGTTAAATTCCGTTATTGCTATGCTACCGCGTTTGCAAAATACTGCAAAATCTCAACGTCTGATTAGGTCTAATTTTCTTGAGGGAATGGAACGATTTACCAGATGCTCACCTCTCAGCTTGGAGGTTTATGGTTTTGGTGCATGTCTAAGTGTTTTTAAGCAATCCTTATGTTATTTATACTTTTTTGGTAGATGACTTTACACAGTATGTAAATGGTCATATTTCACAGCATTTTTCACTTCGATTGTGATAACATCTTCTCCCCATGTTCACATGGATTTCCTCCACAGTCCAAAGACATGTGATATAGGTTAATTGAACTAAATTAAACAAAATTGTCCGTAGTTTGTAAGTGTGAATTTGTGAGTGTATGGGTGTTTCCCAGTACTGGGTTATGGCTGGAAGGGCATTCGCTGCATAAAACATATGCCGGAATAGTTGGTGGTTCAATACTTAGTTAACCTGTGCTAAATAAGGGACTAAGCTCAAGGAAAATTCATGAATTTCTCATTCTAGGACTGTTATGTTTCAACATTACAGTATTGAACCCTTGACTGTGATCTTCCAGATTGAAATCTCCATCTTTGAGGACAGTAGCTCCAGCAGCTCCAGCTCCAGTGGCAGTTCTCCGTCCAGCAGCACAGCTCAATGACTGGAGGAACAGCACCAGGGGTACGGGTACAGAGCGGCCGGTACGCTCGCCAAAATCCGCATGTTGAAACATGAGAGCACCAGATTTTAAAGAAAGAGAGAGAGGGAGTATATGTACTGCTCACTCACTCGCTTCTTCCAAACAACTAGTGCAAAGCCAGGAGCTTTAACTCACAAACACACCTCCTCCCCTTTCATACCTCTTTTAATTCAGCCTCTGCATTTCCATTAGTGAAAAATACATGCGACGCCCTCCGTGTCTCACATACTGAAGAGGGCTAGCAGACAGTTACAATGGACAGAGTGCAGGCTTCTTACTGTCTTTGCTCTGGAAAATCCAGGCTAAAATAGATTTTAAAACATATTCGCTGGTCTCTAGCTAGTAATCATGCTGTTAATACGGTGGTTTACCTACTTTCCGTATTCTAAACAATAACTTAAACAGCCCAATACTTACTTAATACTTATGCCCAAAGTATAATTACTTAAATTTAAAAGCATCTGAAACATAAAGATTCTTCCTTTTTCCAATGTCTGTGCTTAATTATCAAAAACTGATCAATAATGTCTTAGTTACAGTAGCAAATGACATTATTTTTGTACTCTTCAATACATTTGTCTATTGGTTTTGCTTTCTTCTGTAGTTCGTTATTGATGTTTATGTAATTTTTTTTCCAGACTATGAAGCAATGAACCGGTCCACTGTTCCCATATGTGACCCAGGGCCACAAAACCATTGATGTATACTTTAAGCTTGGACAATATTTGGCCGAGATACAACTATTTAAATGTTGTATGCATATGTTAGGTTTTTTTTTTAAGTATAGTTGAAAAAGTGATATTTTTTTTATAGATTTGTACAATGTCAGCTGATGGCAGTATTTGATGGTTTACATTGTTGTTTACTTTGTTAAGATTTGACATTATTTTACAGAAATACAACTATAGAACTACTGGAATCTGAAAAAATCTAAATACTGGCAAAATTGCCTTTAAGTTCTCAGCAATGCATATTACTAGCATAAATTTCTTTATGGAACATTACCTTTACTTAGTATTGTATTAACTTTTGGCATTAAAAAGAAAAATCATTTTGACCAATAAAATGTAATGTTGGCCATGCAAATATACCTGTTCAACTTTTGTGGTTCAGGGTCACATATATTGTACTGTAGTATTGTGGAAAAAACTGATGGGAAAACAGTTCAAAGAGCACATGTGATCGCGTTTGTACTGTGCTGATGATGATATATGAATCGTTGTATAAAAACAGCGTGCACATAAAAACAAACATATGCTTTTGGCGTAAGGTTATATCTACACTAATATGCATTTGAAAAACCAAAATAAAAGATTAGCCTTTGTGTCTGCAGTGAGACAGCACTTTCTTACCGTGGATAAAGTCGCTTATTAAAGGCACTCTCACAATTTGATTAATTTGGTCTGTAAAAAATAAAATAATATATATATATATATATATATATATATATATATATATATATATATATATATATATATATATATATATATATATATATATATATAGTAAGACATGACGTCAAACCATAAAAATACTTTTACAAGCTACCCTTTCAGTGCTGCTAAAGATAAATGTTGCTTTCAACAGTTTTGAAACTGGATTCCTGCAAAGATTATGATAACAGGAAAGCAATTAGATATGTGGTCCTTTATTTATTCACAATTTCAATACAAGTAGATGACAATAAAACAGGGGTAAATGTGGTTAGAAACACTTCAGGATTGTCCACTTTTGACCACGTCCAGCACTACAATAGTCAAAACTGTAGAATGTTTTTGAACAGCCACAAAGTGCCACCTACAGTACCTCCTTATCAACTGACCTCATTTTTAGGATTGCGAGACATGAGGAACTGAAACTCAATTGAAATAGTTTGGTATAAAGACAAAAAAAAAGTTCTCTTACCAGTCCTATTTCTAACACAAATCATATTTGTTTGGAATCCAATTGACCATAACTTAATCTTAATAATAGGTGTAAACAGGGCCTTAGATCCATACGATGGACATGCAACCTACACACCAAAAAGTGGTGATATATTTTGCCAATATAATAATCATGCAGCATGCAAACCTTAATATATCTAATCTTGTTTTCATCTCATTTACTTTTATTAAATTTAATTCCTTAAAATGCCAACATGTATACAATTCTGACATGAAACCCCCATTTTTAAATGCATTGGGATTGATGTAGATGTAGATTTTAAAGCACAATGAACAACTAATGCTGCTTTTTCCAGCAAAGCATTGGTCCTTATTTAGTTTGGACAGTGACTGAGCTCTTTCTATTCATCCCGCTGGGGCCAAATTCAGCAGTGCCTCAGTTCACTGGCAGACTTGACCCTTCGTAGAGCTCCAGGCTCATGTTCCTTCTGTTAGTTCCACCACATACCTGCACCTCAGAGCTTCAGTGTTCAGTGTCATGGACAATATGCTGAAACCAGCCAATGCTTCATCTCCACTCAATAACAGCAACTGGCAGCCACTCTAGCTGCATGCCTCATTTTTCTATTTATTTTTTTACTTAATTATTTGTGTATCATAAAACCTACCTCTGGTTTGAGTGCAGACTGGAGGAGATCCAACATGTAAATGTGCCAGATATAGTTTATTTTGACTGATCTGCTTCAGAGAAGATTGACTCACCAGTTCTCCACAGTGAGATATTTCATTGCTTGGTTGGGTTTGATGTTAAGCATTTGCTAGACTCTCAGGCATAACTCAAAAATGCATACTAATTTTTCTTTAAAAAAAATAAATAAATAAATAAAACAAATAACAAAAAAGTGCAGTAATTAATTGTGACAAGCAAAAGGCTATGGTTTACACATGATATGGTTTACACATGATCATATGTGACCCTAAACATAGTTTTATGTTGCATGGTTATATTTGTGGCAAATGTCAGAAAAACAGATAGTATGGATTAAATGATCAATTCTTTATTAATTCTTTTATCGATTGATTGACGGAAGCTAGCAACTCTCACTTGTCTGCACACTGAAGCTAAGCAGGGCTGTGCCTGGTCAGTACCTGAATGGGAGACCACATAAGAAAGCTAAGTTGCTTCCGGAAGTGGTGTTAGTGAGACCAGCAGGGGGCGCTCATCCTGCAATCTGTGTGGGTCCTAATGCCCCAGTATATTGATGGGGGCTCTTTTCTGCTCAGTGAGCACTGTCTTTCGGATATGATTTCAAACCGAGGTCCTAAATCTGAGATTGTTAAAAATCCCAGGATGTCCTTCAAAAAAAAGAGTAGGGGTTTAACCCTGGCATTCTAACCAAATTTGCCCACTGGCCTCTGTTCATCATAGCATAAACATCCCTATGTCATAATGGGCTTCATCACTCTGTCTTCTCTCCACCAATCAGCTGGTGTGTGGTGTGCGGTCTGGCGCAATATGGCTGCCATCGCGTCGTCCAGGTGGATGCTGCACACTGGTGGTGGATGAGGAGATTCCTCCAAAAATGTGTAAAGCACTTTGAGTGTCCAGAAAAGCAGTATATAAATGTAAGGAATTATTATTATAATTTCATGTCAAAATTAACAGAATATAGACCCCTTTCACACTATCGGGTTTCTCAGTAGCGGAAGTCGTCATAGTTAGGAAAACTTAGAGCAAAGTGAATAGGCGAACACAATAAATAATTATTTGCTCAAATAATAAAAGGAAAACTCCAGGATGATGTTATAAAGACTTTCAGAAAAAGGAAAACAATTGTGTGGGACTGATGACGGCAGCCAGAGGAAAGAATAAATGTCAAATTTGCTGTTCTGTCCCATAGGCGCTGCATTAGAAATCCCTTACACAAGCGGTAATTAGTTTTTTCTAATTTGAAGCAAAGATGATATACCACTTGTATAAATACATATAAATGTTCATACGTTTTTTTAAATAAAAATATTTAAACCTTTAAAGGATTTATGATGCTGATGACTGTAAAACGGGTCATAACAGGCTTGTGAAATTTAGTGAAGTTCATGTTCCATAAAGGCATTTTATTTACAGTATTTCCTTATATAAAAATATATAAAATATATAAAATTTAAAATTGGTTAGTGATTTGCATGGATAAGAATTGAAACTTGCAAATTTTAAAGACAAATTTCTTAGTATTTTTGAACCCTCAAACTCCAGATGTTCAAATAGTTTCATCTCGGCCAAATATTGTCCAAGCTTAACCAACCACACATTAATGGAAACCCTAACATTTCTGATGGGCTGTACTGCTGTCTCTTTAAGTTTGCATGTCAATCAGCAACAGCACTTTTCTAAAAGCTGTGGATTGACTGTCTTGTAAGTGTTCAACTGCCCAATCCTTCATTAACCACCTATTCACAAACTGCATTAATCAATCAATACAAGAATGAACTAAATTATTGTGGACCAGCCGAGTAACTGCCTTTTAGAAGTGACCGGACTGCTGATTATCGAAACACTGATTTTACTATTCTTTCAATGTAGGCAAAAAATATGTTTTCTGTTGTCAAAACGTTTCATAATAATTCATTTTGGACTACAGGAATGTTTTGAGTTCTTTTCTCTCAAAAAATGAAGGTAAATTCGACTTATGACCCTATTAGCTGTCTACTCATCATTTAATGCCATTACTTTTCTCACCTTTGAGCTTCTCCAGTTTGTCCTCAGCTCAGTTCTCAGTTCTGCTGTGTATATGGTAGTGCTCATAGATCTCCTGTGCCTGCTGCCTTCATGTTTCACTGCTGTGGAAACACCCACCCTGGCGCTGATCCATCAGGACCGTGGACTTCTGTAAATTGTACATGAATTGCACTATTAATGCATGTCTACAAATGGACTTCAGTCATTGCTGAGTCAGTGTGTGTTCTATTATAATGAAGCTGACTTGGATAGACATTTCCAGAATTCCAAGGAATTTGTTTAAGAGTGTGTTCACACTTGGTATATTTGATAGTTTGATTAAAGCAAACTGTGTGATGTTGTTTAATACAGTTTAATACAAGAATCGAAAAGGTTTAGTTTTATGTCAGTCCAAACAAGGACTACATGTATAATTTTCTTTTATCCTCATTGGGACCAAATTAATCAATAAAAGCAAACTACACTGTTAAAAGTGGTTAGTTACTTTAATTTAAAAAAAAGTGAGTCAACCAGTTGCTTTAAAAGCAACAAGTTGACTTTACTAAAAAAAACTGAGTAAATTCATTGTATCTTGGAACTGTTGTATTGATGATAGGGATGTAACGGTATCAGAATTTCACGGTTCGGTAATACCTCGGTATGAATGTCACGGTACGGTATTTATTGAATCATTTACAGGAAAAAAAAAACTTTTGAAAATACTCCAAAAAAGTGCCAAAAGTGTCAATGACATACAAATTAGCCATCTATCTGTAAGCTTTGAAACACTAACTTCAATTTTAATAACAAAAAATTATTAAACCATGTAAAAAAAATAAAGTTTCAATTTAGTATTGTTGAAAACTCACCACATTCAACATTTAATCACTCACTCACTTAGATAGAGATGGGTTTAAAGGAAAATTATCATATAATTATAATCTGGTAAAAGCTGGTATCTCTGGGTATTTACAATGTCCCCTGCAACAGAAAAAAACCCTCTCATTTGGGACTAAGGTTTCTGGGACAAGAGAGATATGACTTGGCCCAGGTTGACAGCAGTGGGGTAACGTTGTGCATTGTCTTTCCCCCACTTGAGAAGACAAACCATGAGTGAGATAGAGATCTCTTTGCGGTACAAGTCAATGTCTGCATCAATCTGAACAGTGTGCTGTGTTTCTGCAGTCCCCATAACTGTTAGTCCCCAAACTTGCAGGCACGTGCACACATAGGGCTCAACCTGTGCAGTGCACATGCCCTTTTTAGTCTTGGATAGAAAATGCCCTTCCAAAACGATCAAAAGTGCCCCCGCGACGCGACACAACCTCCGTCCAGTCCAGCCCTTCAGTAGGCGCACGACAACAACTCTCTTGAGTATGCGCGCTCAACCCCCCCTCGGCGCTTTACAATACGCGCGCCACAACACAGCTGATCAGAACGCGCGCGACAGCACCGCTATTCAGCACGCGCGCGGCGACAACACCCGCTTTAGGTTCGATCATTTCCATCTTTTTTTCATCTCCGCTATTAGCAGCACACTCCATTTCCGCATTACTGGATCTGTAGCGACAACAGACCGCAAAGGATTATGGCCACGCCTGGGCTGATGGGAAATGTAGTTTCAGCTACGTCCCGTTCGCTTCATTCGCCTGAGCAAATTTTCTCAGAAGACCTATAGTTTTACCGAGTCATGCGACTTCGGTAATATCGAAAAAATTTGATATTGCGGTATGACGGTATTTACAATACCGTTACATCCCTAATTGATGAAACTTAATTAAATTATAATCATGCACATAGTTCAT